TTACATGGGTGCTACAGTCTCAGTCCTCTATCCACTGCAGCCTTCATCCTCCTTTACAGGCGTTGTAACATTACACAACAGTTTCAGCTCCATTGTGCAGTTATCCTCAGTCTGCTCTGCTGTTAGGGACTTCTTGGATCACACTTTGTCTGGAACCTGGCCCTTGACCGCTCTGCCATGGGTGACCGTAAGGGAGTACATTGAGTCACCGGGTCATTGAGACACGCAAGCCTCTCCACCACTACAAGGTGGTGAGCCGTGGGTGGGGATCTGAAGAGAGCAAACTAGCCAGTGAAACTTCATTGAGGTTGAGGGCGTGGCTGTGGAGGGGAGAGATTTTTAGGAAAGTTGTACTCCTTCTCCTGCCTGAGCTGAGACCTTGTGTCTGGTGCAGTCTTGACATGGTGGCCCAAGCTCAAATGATCTCATATCAGTGTCTGTTTTTATGCAGTTATCGGGTTTTGTAAAGGTCGGGGAGCTGGGACTAACGGGTGAAATGTGGATTTGTTTGAGGTGAGGATAGGGTACCAAGCTCCAAAGTCAACGAAGAATCAAACAGGCTGCAGAGTGGGTGGGTGTAGGTTAAATTATATTCGTGGACTTCACTTCTCAGGAAGCAAGATTACAAATGGAAATCCTCTTCTGGCTATTCCGCTGAAGTGTTGCGCAACACTTCACGGCTTTAAAAAGAGAGAGGCTCAGAAGGGAACAGTAACATTTATTTGGCCACAGAATAATCTGTCGTCTCTTTCCGCCTGTCCCCATACCTTCCCCCCCACCCTTTTAAATGTTTTGAATAGTGTTGCAAGTATGGTTCCTGCTGCCTGAGTGATTGTTTACTGGATATAATTATTATTGTCCAAATCCAGGTCATTATCCAAATATTGGTTCTGGTTTAATAGAACAAACCTGCCCAAAGGCAGACCTTTCTGAGTTTGATCCTGCACTCGGTGTCTGTTCAATGGACTGTGGGGTGGCATGGGCTAAGCCTTTTTCAATCCCTTTCGCTCTATGTGAACTGTGTTCTCTTACACTGTGTATTTTAGCCCATATATTAATTTTGCACATTTGGATTGTTGACCGAGCTACAGAATGCTTTGCAGAGCTACCCAATGTGTTCCTTCTTTGATCTCAGACTTGGGAAGGGTTGTTGCCTAAAATGCAGTATCCGTTCATGGCAGCTGACTTTTTAACATCACTCACTTGTTTTACGTTTGTTTTTTAAAGTATGTTTTGTCCTGAGTTAACAGCATTGGAGGCTGAAGGCAACTCTTCAGAACAGGTACAGTCTCAACCCCTGCTGTGGAGAGACTATCTCTAGGGATGAGAGAGAGGTGGTCATTTTGCATATCCATTAGGTACTTGGCCTCTCTGCTGAGACTGCAGATGAGCAGTAGGGTGGCTAACTGTAGTAATGTGTATTTGTGCTTTTGTCCAGGATTTTCTGTGAAGTGCATTGAGACTAGATAAGCATTTGGCATCGGCCACCAAATGGGGCAAATGGGTATGGCTGACTTGATCAAGTGTAGTATCTGTATTTAAAATGGGCCTATCCACAGGTCTAGGTGTCCATACGAACTGCATTGCTGAAAGTTATACAGCAACCCTGACTGGAACAGTGACTGGCCAGGCAGTATTACCTGCTGTGCCTGGGAAAAGAGGGCGCTTATTAGGGCTGATAAGGGAACTCTGCCTTTCTGAATATCTTTATTAAATACTTCAGGAATCACCCCCAAACTTACACTTCTACTGAGAACATTTAGGACAGTCTGCAGAATTTTGTAAGGGTGGGCGGCAGCATGCAGCGCATCAAGATCTGGCAGCTCTGGAGTAGGCCTGTGGAGTTTCATGTGTAAATTTTACAGAGCTGAGAAGACTGTTGTCCTGAGGCTTCACTGCTGCTATCTAAATGTGACCTTAACTGACACCCAGAGTCATTGTTTAGTCATTAGAGTATACATTGCACGTGAATTGTATAAAACAGCACAAAATATCAGTATTGAGGGATTGGGCTTTCTACGACCTTTTAATGATAATTGAAAGCAAAGCTGTTTTTATGTGTCTTGTTTGTCCTGAAAAGCAGTGCCCTGAAGCCACCCAAACTTTATAATAATTCCTCCTCCTAGACTAAGCTTAGGCTGTTGGTTGGGCTTGATAGCATCTGTGTTGGGCTTGACTGCAGCATACATAAGTTCTTGAAGCTGCAAATAGGTAGTAAATTGAATGTCACAGTGCAGTGGCCCAATGGTAATAACTCTTCAGGTCCCTGCAAAGCATCAGAATGTGCTCCTCTTCCTTCTTACACTTCTGCATCAACAAAATCGGTGATCAAGGCAGATAGATCCTGCTGGCTTTCACAACTTCTTTCTGTGACTGTAAAATGTAAGAGTCTTCCTCCATTGAGCACAAAAATATGATTTTAAATATTAAAACATGAGTTCCTGCTATCTAAGCCCTCTCCTCCTACCATGTGTGCGCACACATGCCATATCACATCCTGGGAGAGATTGTGTATCCATAGACTAGACATAACAAATGGGTAGTGAAATAGATTCCACAAGGGGAGGAGATCCAGATATCATTGCAAAGATCCAGGAGCAGGATAGAGCGTAGCTGTCCCAAATGTATCTTCATGACTTATGGGTTTCTCCTGGTCTGACTCTCTCTGATAAATTCTCTCCCCTCAGCCCTAAAAAGCTGTTATAATAATCTCTGAATCATATTATCTCGTACAGGAAGGATTTTGGTCTCTTGGGGCCTTTCTGTGCTGACAGTTTTGTAGTTTATCATTTTTCAAACTCCTGTCTTAGAGAGTGAAAGTGAAAAACACACTGTTGTTCAGAGGAGGTCTAACTGCAAATGTTAAATACAGGGATAGCTGTTATGCTTGCCTAATCTAGGGCTCCTGATGTTACACCCATGGAGCTGAACCGATGTTGGTAGCCGTTTGGATATCTTGTAGTATCCATATAGACATTACAAATTTAAGAATTTTGAGGCACCATAAAATAAACTGAATACATCACTGAGTTAAACATACTGTACTGACTGTATTATTCTGATTTATATGTAATTCAAACCTTACATTTAAAAAAAATTATCTGAAGCTGTTGTAGAGTATCCTGTCTGCCACAGTGGAGCACTGCAGAATCCAGGGGCCTTGCCACAGGAGTTAGGTCAAGCTTGCTGCGGAGCACAGAGGATCTGGGGTATAGTCCCTCTTCCTGAAATACTTGACTTACCTCTCAGCTGCTTTGCACATCTGTGTCTAGCTCTCTTCTCACCATGTGTTTTTTTTTTTTTTTTTGTTGGGTGAATTTCATATGCTGGAGCTTGGAATAGTTATTGTCTCATGTTTCATTGTGCGTAAAATGTTAAATATTTGATGCTGGAGGCTTCAAATGCAAACTTGTTCTTCATTGCACCCAGGTCCTGCTTTCTTAGTTCATACTGGCAACCACTGATATGTGATTGATACGTTTTGAGATCTTGCTTATTGTCTGGCATATCACAGGAGTAATTAATTGAAAATCAGTTGGACAGATGTTTCTTAACTTCCCCTCTGAATCTCTTCAGCAATTGGTCTGTGCAATGCAAACCACATTCTAGTGATAAAGCCATGTGTGTCATTATGTCGGCATGTGAGAAAGGAAAGTGAATACATGCTATGCTGCCCCTTGCCAAACACCGGCAGAAACAAAGTTCCTTGTTTGGTGGGACATGTTCACTTACGTACCCTTAAAAGGTGAAGGAGGGAGTTGCCACTTTGCTTAGTACTTGGCAGTGCATGAAATGGTGTCACAGGAAAGTATAACCAAAGTCTGGTTGAGTTGAGGGTTTGGCATGATGTTTGATGGGAAAATAATTGCAGTTACTTTCCAGTGTCTGCATGTAATCTTCCCTTTTGCCATGCTCTCCTTGCAGGGCGGGCCCTGCTACCTCTTGGCCTGAATTGAGCGCTGCAGATGGCTGGCTGCTCATATACAGCCACTGCACAGTGCTCCTGTGCAAATGGAATTTATTTCAAATCCCCATCCTCCCCCCAAAATAAACCCCCATTAGTTTGCCAGATTCCACAGAGATGCCAAAAATACTTGGTCCTCTCTGTTTTCCTAATAATGATATGATGTGTTTACCCTACAAAACACAAAAGTTTCTAAAGAGCATAGATGGGCCCCAAAGTGGTTAGCCATTTAAAGTGTAGCACATCTTATTGCAGGTGTTAGAATCTGTAGCTCCCTGTTCACTGTTGGATGATCATAACAATCTTACTGTGGATTAATTTCAAACAGGTTTCCCAAAAAGATCACTGTATCCTTATAACTTTTAGACCTTTACTCAGTTTTAGGTCTAGCCACACTACAGATCCTTGCTATGTTATAATTATGTGTATTAACACAGTTATTGCACAATATAAAATTGTGCACAGATGGATAATAATAAAAATCAATGTTTGTGTAGGTATCCCTGTCCTCATGCTGTCCTACAGTGATGAACATGAACTACAGGTTCCAACAACTGTTAAAGGGAAGGAAATGTGTGGCAACACATGTAGTAAACAGATTTAGGGCCTGGGTCTCTTCTCTCTCTAAACATTGCTGTGGGGTAACCACATCACTTCACTAATAGACAAACTTAGAGAGAGTTGTCGTCAAAATCAGGTTTTGTTTACACACAATCCTTTTTATTTGTGCTTTGTCGTTAATAGTCCTGTCAACAAGTTATTTTATTTTATTTCATGATGATTATGCCATTTTCATTTGCTCTGTTAACTAGTGAACCATGCTGTAAATATCCCCATGCTTTGTTAGGGTTTTCTGATCCTGAGTTAATATTCCTGTTGTGACTTTTAGTGAGCCTCAAAGAAAGTAACCTGTGGGAGAGTTGCATGTTTGATATGTTTTGTTATCCCTGTGAAATCATCATCATGCTTAAACCTGTCTGCAGAGTTCCTAGTTGCATTCAATCTTTGTCTCATATAGGTCTTTCCTTTCTTCTAGGACTGAATTTGCCCTACAAGAAATCATGTCATCTGGAGGAGCTGAAGATGATATTCCTCAGGGGGAGAGGAAAACAGTCACCGATTTTTGTTACCTACTGGATAAATCTAAACAGCTCTTCAATGGCTTAAGGTTAGTGGATTTATAGTGCTAGACAAGTGAACAGCAAATTACCCTCTCTTTCTCCTTAGGGACAACATTGTAACCCAGATGTTGGTGCATGAACAATGCTGAAGTTTGTACAATATACAGTGTGTACAGCAAACCAGGAGTAAATGGTAATTTCTTGTTTTAAAACAAAATAATTCAAATGTTTATGTTGGGGTAGGGAAAAGATCGTGCATACACATATGTATTATGGTTCTGCAAACATTTTTGTCCCGAGGTGCAGGAACTGAGACCAGTTCCTATATAAAGCCACTTTATCACTTTTATTGCTGTAAGAATTCTTTTCCAGACTCCTACAACAGTGTGCACTCTGGAGTGCTGCACAGCCACTTCCTGGGCTTCTGAGAAGGATGTAGAGCTGTGGAAGGCCGTTGCATGTAGTTGGGTCATTCTTTTATATCTTGGTTTACACTGGGCATCTGGTTGTTGCAGACTAAAGGCTATAGTTTTTCTTGTATTCTGGTAGGGCTTAGGACCTGCAACAAAGAATAAGGGCCCAACTGCACGAGGCACTGTGTAGACAAATTGCAAAGAAGACAGTCTGTATTCACTTGTTAGCTGATGCAATTTGTACACGATTGTGAGTTGCAGCTAGTGTATCATAGCATAACTATACAAAGCAAATTACTGTGGTTGCATTGATGTGATGTTAATGTTACTGATGTAGGACTATAGGACTAAAGTGGGAATGTATTAACCCTCCCCTCCAATAGCCTATTCTTAAGTAAGACTGCCTATACATTTATAGGTAAGACTGCCTATAAACTTGCATCCACAAATTCCTTTGCAGAAATCTGTGTGGCTATTTGGGTTTCTTGTGTGTTGCCAGGATGGAAATAACTGACAGTTTGTGGATGGAGATGGGATTCAGTTCTTTCCTGCTATATAACAAGTGTCTTCGTGAGTGGTCTTCCTGAATTGACAGTTATAAAAGTGAACTTGAAAAATATGGACACTTGTGGGCTCCTCTCTCCAGTTCTGGTTCTTTATATTCAGGGACATTATTTTTTTTCCATTCCCTTTACATTTAATCTCCTTATAAAAGTAATGATTGGACAGGGGCAGAGGGGCTGAGTAACTGCATTCTTTACCTTTGAATTCATTGTGATTTTTTTTTCCGTATTTGCTTAGATTGTAAGCTCCTTGAGGGCAGGGCTTTCATCTCCTCTCTGTTCTGTACGTTGCCAAATGCGTTGTTGGAGCTCAACAAATGAAGACTAACTTGGCTAGTTCAGAAATGCACACTGCCTAAGAAGCTGCTAAGCTGCGGATCCAATTTGCATGTGCAGCACTTATGGTTTTCTATAGTGCCCATCTATTAAAGAATGGGTAAGTATGTCTTAAAACTTGCTGGTTTGGAAATTCCACATGCCTGATTGTTGACTGACCCCAGGGTTCAGAACACTTTTAAAGGTGCAGGCAAATTCTAGGAGTCTAGCCTGACTAAACAGATTCGTATCAATTGTGCACTTTCACAGTATTTCTCTAAACAGATATTTTTTGCATTAAATGTTACACATGTTAGCCACCCAGAGAGTCATAGTTTAAGGTCAGAAGAGACTATGAGAAATTAGACCGAAGTATTACAGCCCACAGGAGCCTAACTATTATGTACCACAGGTAGAGAACAGGAGAGACCGAGGAGCACCAGTGCCTGTGGCCCCTGCAATGGGTTATACCCAAATACTCCCAGCAAGTGATCCACACGCATACGCTTGCAGAGAGAGGTTAAAACACCCCAAGGTCACTGCCAATCTGACCTGCAGGGGAAAATTCTTTCCGACATATGGCAATCAGAGAGGCAGCGTGGCTTAATGGCTTGAACATAGAAGTAGAATCTTATCCTAGCTCTGCCATAGGATCCTAGTATGACCTTGGACAAGTCACATCACCTCTGTGTCTCAAAGTTCTCCAGCTATAAAAGGAGACCAATAATATCCCTTTGCCTACCTTCCAGGGGAGTTGTGGTGATGTATTAGGTAGTGTTTTTGTAAAGTGCTCTTAAGTGAAGCACTGAATGAGTGCTAAGTGTTATAGCTGCAGTATAAAGCTTAAACGGAATCCATGAAAAGCTAGTTACTGATCAGTTCTGTTCTTTCTTTCAGTCAGCTCAGGTAGAAGATGTGTACTGGAGAGTCCGTTGTGTGCTAGCAATGTATCTTATTGAATCTGTTCAGTTTTCTCCCGATTGCCAAGGTGACTTTCTAAAGTCTGCTTTACATACGGTCTTCTCTCTTTGTTGTTGGCTACATCAGTGGCACTAACTGTCTTTCTTCCTAAAGCCTTAACTGAAAAGACTTCTAGCTATGCTGTTGAGTAAAAGAGCTTGTCAGGGTAATGGCTCTGAATTCTGACTTGCCTTTTCATGTCTATTTGCAGTGTTTATTCGGTATAGTACGTGTTTCAGCCATTTTCCTTACAAGCGCAAACTGCCCCCACTCCCACCCCTCTCCAACAGTAAACTTGGGGCAGTTAGGTAACTGTCTTTTATAAGATCACCTGCATGCTGCCCTGGCACCATTCTAATTTAATAATGTAGCTGACAACCCTGTGGTAATGAGGTGGCATATGCACTATACTGGAAACACTCTCTAACATCTTGCAAAGCATCTCCATTCACCTTGCTCCCAAGGAACTCTGGTATGCACCAGTTCTGAAACATTGGCTAAAAACGTTCTGAAGTTGAGCAGGTTGTCTTACTAATGTGAGATTTGCACATCCTGTACTTCTCAGAGCTTAGGGCTTGTCTACTTGGAAAGTTAGCATGGAATTAAGTAGGGTGTGAATTTAAATCCATTACATTGCAAAAAAGCACTTATTGTGGAACGAGTGTCTACATGGGGAGTTAGTGCACAATAGTTATTCTGCTTTAAATTCACATCCTACCATATTCCACACTAACTTTCCCATCTAGGAAGCCCTTATGTAGCAATCATCCAAATATCAGGAGCATAGATTAATATCACAGGGGTGTGAGAGCCACACAGAGGAGCCTTCTTCTAAGATGGGTCAGCATCTCTTCTACTGATCTGGCCAGCCAAAGCTCCATTTTGACATATCTGATTAGAGCTGCTGACTGCTATGCGACTTTTGCCAGGTGGTATCTATAACCCCCTGTTGGAGCAGTCTGCTGGCTAGTTCCATCTTCTCTAGTGGCTACTGTTTGCCTGGCACATCAACAATAAAACACTGTTAGCTCCAACTTACAAGCCAGAAACAAATAGGTTAATGTTTTGTCCTTCTCTGAGTCAGCATATATTAGTATCGAAGAGTGCTTAACAAATATATCAGTGAATTAATTATCACACCACCTATGGGAGCTAAGTATTGTCCTTGTTGGAGGGGGAAAGTGTCACAGGGAGGGTTAAGGGACTTGCTGAAGGCCACCCATTGTGTCTGGGGCAGAACCAGAAATAGAACCTAGCGTCCTTGACACCTTGTTCTGTGCAGTTACCACTAACCCAGCACTTCTCAGTCAGTGGGATGCAATGTGGGAAGTGGGTGCCGAAGAAGTAAAGTTACATGAGCAATGAAATCCTACAGGCACTCCCTCTCCCATCTTGCTGCCGCCTCTGCCATCACCACCTTGGCTCTGTGCTTTCACTGATTCCCAATAATACAACAATCCCTCTTTGCTCTCTTCTTCCCTCACACCACCCATTGCTCTGCACTAGGGCTCAGAAATGCATTTGCAAGGAATTGTAGAGCCAATTCTGCAACCACTGAAAGTATTATTCTCCTGTATCTGAACAGGAAACAAGCACCCCCTTCCACTCCAGCAGACTCTGATACCCAAAGCAACAGCTCCCAATACTCCATCAACATCTTCCATAACTCTCAAGCTTCAGCACCCAAAAACAACCTGTTGCTTCTTTCTAGGCCCAAGATCCCACAATCCGACTCCAAAGGATTTTTGGATACAGTGGCTTGCAAGATGACCTGAGCCTTTTTTAGGTTGTGGACCCAGACAGGCTGAGAAGTACTACATGAGACTGTACAGCCTCTCTCCTTCTAAAGCAAGTCTTTCTTTGCTTTTTAAAACATTTTTCTTGGGCTACTCTATTAGTGTTGACCCCTTAAACCATTTTAATTAGTATATAAAGCAATCTTCCCATTCTGTGTGCATAAAAGTGAGCTGGGTGCAGCTTTAAGGGTCAAGGCTGCAGAGTTTTGTTGTTAAAGGCAATAATTGTAGACTGTGATTTAGGCAACATGAATTCAGGAATAATGTCTATCTCTGGTAGCTGACAACATGCCTTTTGAGCTTGACTGTATTTCCAGAGTGAAAGCATGTTGCTAATTGACATCAATATCTGCAGGCTTAAGTGAAAGTTAGGCTGATTGCTTAGGCTGAAGTCTGAAGAATGTGTGGCTTCTGCTTCTCTAGTGTGCACTAAAGCAACTGATGTATAGCGGATCTGGGATGTATTTGAAGGTCCAGTTTTTTTATTGATTGCATTTACATAGACGTTGAAGTCAAGCACGTTCGTCTAAATGTCTTAACCGCTCAGTAGCTGAGGGAAGGGCATTGTGCAGGCAGCCATTGCCAACAGATGCAGCCTGCAAGTTTATGATCAAAATCTTCGAACTGGCCACAGTGGTAAAAGAGAGAGTCAAAAAGTTCCCACTAGTAGTCATTTGCAGCACATCTGTTAATTCTACATTGAAAACTATTGAGTTTTGCCTACAGATGGTGTGGGAGATCAAAAGTGGGGGGGATTGGGCTTCAAATGTCTCACAAGATAAACAATGGCTATGTTTGAAACCTTACCATGTAGTATACCATCTGGAGGGGACTTTGAGGTTCTTTAAATGAATTGTCCAAAGGGGGTGCCATGAGCTAAGACAGTAGATTGGTGGATTAGACACACTTTTAAACAGGTAGATGTGGCATGTCTTGCACCTTAAGGAGCAGATTCGGCAAGACTTGTCACCACCTCACGTCAGAAGGGGCAAGGCTGGAC